CATCACAGATGCACATGGGTAGGAAATATGAGAGGTCTGTACCTCTGCCGGGTGTTGTAGAGGTCTTGAGGGCACAGACTAACATGCTGTAGCAAAGGGATCTGAAACCACAGGGGCTTACACAGGCAGAAGTCTACCGCTCTCGCACAACAGGGGTGAGCAGCCCAGGACGTGCTGAGAGACTGGCGTGGGCAGCATGAAATGGTAGAAGGAGGAGCATGTCCTCAACATGTGGCTTTCATCTCCAGGTTCTAGATGGTTCTTCCAATTCTTATCTCTCATCCAATGGAAAAGTGCAAGGGGCAAAGGAATTCACACTCATCTTTCTTAGATACATGGCCCAGACCGGCATATGGGTTCCAGTTCCATCCCATTGCCAAGAATTTTGTCACATGTCCACATCAGGCTGCAGGGTGGGAAATGTAATCTCCAGATGAGCTGTCAGGTGCCTGATAAAACTCGAGCATTCTGGGATTGAATAGGGGGAGAATGGATATTGATGACAACTAACCATCTCTGTCACAGCATTTTTCAATTTTTCTACATAGCCATCTGGTTTGGGCTGAATTGTGTCCCTCACACCCAAAATTCATCTGTTGAAGCCCTAATCCCCAGGACCTCAGAAGGTGACTGTATTTGGAGATAGGGCCTATACACAGGTGATTAAGGTTAAACCCAGTTATAAGGATGGGCTCCTACTCTAACATGACTGGTGTTCTTACAAGAGGAGGAGGAGACACCAAAGAAGTGCCTCCACAGAGGAAAGGCAATGTGGAGACGCAGTGAGAAGGCAGCCTTATGCAAATCAACGGGGTGGACGCAAGAGAAGCCAAGCATGTTGGCACCTTGATGTTGGACATCCAGCCTCCAGAACTGTGAGAAAATAAATTTCTGTTGTTTAAGCCACTCAGTCTATGCTATTCTGTTATGGCAGCCCCAGCAGATCAATACATCTTCCTTCTGAAGCATGATCACGGGCATGCATTTCCCCCATTTCCCCCTCCTCTTCCTCCATACCTGCCCCCACCACAGCTAATGGGTCTGGGCTGGGCAGTTTGTCTTCCCTGCTTTCAAACTTTTATGAGGCTTAGCTATGTCCCTGCCTTTGGGTTCTGCGAGACGCCTCTGTATCCTTGAAATAAACACCCCTTTTCTCAAGCTGATATCTGTTACTTGCAATCAGAAGAATTCAACAGAGGAAACAGAGGATTCCTGGAGATAGAAACCTTTTACCTAAAAAAGAGATGGATTTCTTAAGATAGAACTTTTGTATGTCCGAGATACATGTGTGTTCCTGTGACAAAAATGTAGGTTTTGTTCCATTCTCCTTTTTTTTTTAATTATTTAAGACCTTTATTAACAGGTGCTTGCAGTTTGTTGACTTCTTTGAAAAAATCAAGTTGTAAACTTTTATTACAAATTAAAAATGAAGTTCTTAAAAATCTCAACTTGACCAGATATGAAACAATTTAAAAACCTTTAAAGGCGTATTGAGAAAAACCAGGCTTTTTTAAAAAACACGTTTGTTATTACCAAAAAAGACATCTTCAGGTAAAAATAATAAAAACCCCACGCTGCATAGATAATGCAGATAGTTCTAGTTATCTGGTGAACGGGCAAAAAGCAAGCACTTAAGGTCTTCAGCTCCAATCTTTCGTTCATTTCTTATCACTGGAATTTCATATTCATTTCTTCTTGTTGGATGACTAACCAGACGATGGTAGAGATGGTCAGCTGGCATTTGCTCAGCCCTGCCCTGCTCAGCCTGAGGAGCAGACGGATTCTCAGCTGGAGGATCGGCCACTTTTGTCTCTTTGCCATCTTGTGGTTTAGGGTTTTCTGGGCATCTGCGTCAGTAATTGAAGTTGCCGCGGTACCGATGTTGAGGCGGCTGCTGACCTTGGGTCTCATCTCCTTGATTCTCTTTATCCTCTTCATTGCCGTCCTCTCTGGGCCGTCTTTGGGGAGGAGGGCCCCTGCGGAACCGGGGTCCATAACCCCGATACATATTCTGTCTTACTGGTGGTCTACCTTGTTCTCCTGCACCCTGGCTGTCAGCACCCTCCATCACTCTCCCTGTGCAGGAGGGGTGGAACACTGTGGTCCACGCCCACAGGGGCTCCGCATGCAGTAAGGTGGGAGCCTTCCCCTGCGGTGGGCGGCGTTGCTGGCCTGGCCTTCAGGAGCACGCTCCGGTCCCCCATTCTCTTCCCCGCGCTCACTGTTCTGATGATTCCGCTGGTGATCGCGTGGAGGACCCTGCGACGCGGATGGCGTCTGTAATGGTTACGGTCTGCTGCGTATTGACTGCCTTGAACTGGATTCCACCAGGGCCTGTGACATTGCTGCCCCCGCACCCTTCTCTCCTCCAACAACATCAAACTCCACAGTCTCTCCGTCTCCTACACTGCGAAGGTGCTTCCTGGGGTTATTCTTCTTTACGGCAGTGTGGTGTGCAAACACATCTTCCTTGGTGTCATTCCTGTTGATGGAACCATATCCGTTTCTTACATTGAACCATTTTACTGTCCCCAAAACCTTCATTGCAGTGACCTTCTTGTCCCCGCCGACAGGCACCCCCCATGTGAGGCCGCCCGGGCCATGGCTCCCTGCGCCGCTGCCCCTGGTGCCGGGCTTGGAGTGGGCGGCGCTGAGGGCGGGGCGGCGGACGGCTGCCGGGTCTCGGCCTCGCTGCTCCTGGTTCCGGCGCCGGTGCCCGGGGCCGGCTGGGCAGCTGCGGCTGCTCCCGGCGTGCGATGGTAACTAGGCCGGCGGCGGCCGTCCGGCTGCACAGGGCTCTCTGGGGTCCGCTCTCCGCTCCCGCTACCGATCGAACTCCCATTCTCCTTTTAAATGTTAAAATTCTGCATTTTCAATGTCAACAATATTTTGTGAGAAATATATTGATACCATTTAAAATATTTGGTCATTTAGAATCTGGGACATAATTTTTTGTTGTTGCTGTTGTTTTTAGTCTAGGCAACAGTTTGACAGATCTGTCCAACAGAGGTCATGGCAGAATTTACCACCTAGGATAGGGCCAAGCGAGGAAAAGAGGTGTTCTCCTGAAGGACAAGGAAGGGTTAACACAGACAGATGACTCTAATAAAATGTCATTAAGGCTTATTTCTTTACAATTATTCATTATGAAACTGATTTATTAAATGAGCTAAATCCAGAAAGGGCTTTATTTTTCTCTAACCACTGCCTGACAACCAGGTTCTGTTGGATCTCCCTCTGTCACTCCCGAACCTTGGGCAGATACCATAAATTTTAGTGACATGTCTCATTTTAGTAATTGCACCTCTATTTCAGGCAGTAGAATGTCCACCCAATCCAATCTAACAGCAATCTCACGTCTCATTCAAAATTCTGCTTGCCCCTAGCTCAGGCCTTCCTTGCAGTGAAGTGAGGAATGAATGTGGTCAGTTTCTTTACTCTTCCTCCATCCTCTCTGTCTTCTCTACATCCTGGATGTCCCCAGGCCACTGCAAAGGAAGAGGGGGTTACACAAAGAAGAGCAAATCTCCCTGCAGTTAATATTGCATAAGGCAGGCAGGCCATCATGCCCCTGCCTCCTATTGTGGCAGAGGCCACATGTTGGCTCTTTCATGGGGTGCATCTGTGGGTTATTAGGACTTGAGTGGACCCCACATTGCACAGTTCCTTGGTGCAAGTGCCACATTATCTGGCTGACTTTTTGAAGCAATCTCCTCCCCTACCCGCTGCAATAACCCTCTTTTGCCAGACCCCATGGCCTCTTACTACTATAGTCCCTTTGCACAACAGGCTGCCTGGTTTGCTGAGGTCCCATCATGGCAACTCAACCCCAGCTACCTTTTCCATGGTCAAGGCCATGTGAAAAAATCAGGTACTTTTGCCACGCCAACAATGGAAGGGCAGGTTGCAGTCACTGCTTCCCTTCTCTTATCCCGCCATTTTGGGTTGCCCCTCTCACCTTCCCCTCTCACCTTCTGAATTCTCCAGCTGGGAAGCATTCAACAAACATTTATCAAGCACCTATATTTGCCAAGCACTAATACCAGTCTCTATGTCACAGTGCCCATCCCCACCCAAAACTTCAGTGAACACTCATCAAGCTCTTCCAAGAGTTCTCACCCCACACCCATTCTGCTCCATGGAAACTGCACTTCTGTTGCTCTGCGAGCTTTCAGTCTCAGAGTGGGATGCCAGGCTGCTTTTCTACTGTGCTTGGAGCCCTCTTTGGAAGAAATGCAAAGCAATCTCCCCGTGGTTTAGAACAGCACTCCCCAGCCTTTTTGACACCAGGGACCGGTTTCATGAAAGAGAATTTTGCATGGATGGTGGGGGAACTGGGGAGGGGGTGGAGGCGGAGCTCAGGCGGTGATGCGCAGCCCTGTTTTCCAACATGCCACGGACTGGTACTGGGCCATGGCCTGAGGTTGGGGACCACAGGTCTAGAACCTCCACTTAATGACTCTTTGATCATCATTTTGAATCTAGTCTTCCGGAGATGGGAAATATAGATTGATAGTTACTGGTCTCTTCCGTGGTAAGTTCCGCGGGCTGTGTCTAGTATCTCTGTTAAAAATGTGGGAGCATTTATTGCCCTTTGTCAGCTTTTGGGTTTTAGCCAAAATTCTAACACAATTAGGAAAGTCCCAATCATTACCCAGTTACAAATAAATTTGGCTCTGAGTTTCCTTGGCAAGCAGGTAAATCTATGTCTTTCACCTCAACAGCCTGTGACAAAGTCCGTATTTTATACATATACATTCATTTTATACATATACATTATTATGCCAGGAGTCCCACTGGTTAATTACGTATTTGTGTAGCAGAGTAAAAAATCAAATAAACTTTTACACAGATATAAAACAAAATCCTTTTCTATATTCCATAGCTAATTTTTTCCCAAGCCTCAAAGTTGAACAGAATGATCAGTTTCATCCAGAGCCCAGTGGGAATGCACAGGACACTCTGACAACCAGCACATACAGTCCCGGGGTTGACAGTTTTCTTGCTGCCATGAAGCCACGTAAACTCCTGCTCACACAAAATCCACTCGGGAAAAGAGAGGGGAGAGGAACTCTTGAAAGAGTGAGCATTTGCTCAAAAGAGACTGTTTCAATTTGAAAAAGAATGATTAAGCCAGAAAACACTCAGCTGCCTTGAATTGGCAAGCTGAGCACCACCTCCTGCCCCAGCCTAATTCCCCAGTTGAAACACAGTTTCCATTAAGTCTTTCCTGAAGGCATGGGGATAACATAGGTGCCCCCCAACAGTGACTGAGAACCATAGTCTTCATCAGAATCCAAGTTAATGATGGTTGCTTAAGTTGGATGCTCTGATTATTTTTAAGTTTTCACATCATCATTTTTAGTCACTAGTGTTAATTTCATATTAAAAGCAGCTCTAATGTTAGCCCAAAAAAGTCCATGTTTGCTTTTCTCTTTGGGCCATTCCAAATAAGTCCGTTGCGTCATAAGAGCCTTCAGCTTGTGATACTTGCTGGGGATGATGTTCTGTGGAATGGGCTCCAGCAAGATCAGGATTAAGTTATCAGATCCTTCGCGGAAGAGATTGTGGTGGGCAAAGTAGAGTTCATAATGGCACCACTCACTCTGGACAAAGTGCGGAGACAAAACAAAGATGGACTTGTAACTCTTCTCAATGCAGTTTATGATATTTTCCACAATGCTCTTGCCAGCAACAAAGTTTCTCTCATGGAGGCAAATCCGTATGTCTTCTTTTTCTAGGCAAGGCACCAATTCGTTCTTCACCCAGGCAGAATCATGTTCACTGTAAGAAATAAAAGCATGGAACTGGAGAGTTCTTTGGAGTTCCTCTAACGGTATGTTCCTAGCCCTGTGCCGGGTCTGGGTCCACTGGCACACCATCCTGAGATACCAGGGCAGATCCAGGTAGATGCAGAGGAAGGTCACGGTAACAGCCAACACCAGCGTGATGGCCCCAATGGTGACCATCAGCAGAGCTGTGTTGCAGGATAATGCAGACATGTGAAAGTCTTTTAGAGGGGTTCCCTTATAGCTTTCTGGGTAGTCACACTTATAAGAATCAGGCCAGCCCTCTACCACTTCACTTGATACTTGGCCTATATTTTTGACAAATTCTCTTAGCTCGCAGGTACATTGGAATGGATTGTTCCCTGCTTGTATTGACCTAATCTTCTGGCAGCTCTGGAAGAAATCAGCTGATGGCTGGGAAACCGAATTACGGTCAATGATCAGTACAGAAAGACTGCTAAAGGCGCCGCATCCAGGAAGGTCGGTTAAAGAATTGAGAGCAACATTGAGTTCTTGCAAAGCTTCCAGAGAGGTGACATCTTTAGGGATGCTCTCTATTCTGTTACTGTGAAGATCAAGTACCTTGATCCTGGGAGGTAAACATCTGAAAACGGAGTCAGTAAGTACATTTGAAGACAAATTTAAGATAATTATACTCTCAACCCAAGTGCAATTTTCCTTATATCCATCAAATGCCAAAGAATTGAAGCTAACATCCAGTATTTCCAAAGATGGCATATCCTTAGTCATAAGACCTACACTGAAAAGGTCTTTTAGTCCATTCTTTTGTAAGATAAGTGTCTCCAATCTAACTAGCGTGGAACAATTTTGAAAAATACTGTCTGTGAAAACATTCTGGGTAAAGTTCAAAAACTTAAATGTGCTTGGTGCCTTAGGACAAAGCATGTGTATAAGAGGTGAATCTGATATGGTTAACATCATAATGTTCATCTCAGAAAACACTCTGTATAATACCGTCTGTGAAAAAAGAGAAACTCGGTTGGTAACGTGTTCTATTTTCAATGCTTTCAATGCTGTTTTAGAATATGCAAAGTCTTCTTTATTAATGCTTTCAACTATTATTAAATTGTAAATATTGAGATATTCCACAGGTTTGGGCCAAAGGAATTGAAAGACTCTAACCAAACATTTCCAAGTTGTTTCCATGTGGTCGAGGGTAAAATTCAGTAAGGTTGAACCTCTAGTGAATTCTGATAAAAATTTAATTAAAACTCCACAGTTCTCATCATTCAATTTAATGTTAGTCAGTTGCAAGCACCCTAAAGTATTAACTGATATGTTCAGCTGGACAGAGAATAAATTATTTGGGTGGAAAACAAGGTGAAGTGTTTTTGTATTCAGAATTTGAAGACTTTCTGCCTCATTTTCTTTTACGTGATAATTCCCTAAATCCAGAAGGATGTAATTTAGGTGCAAGTGAGCTATTGGCAGCAGATCTAATTGTTGTAACTTCATAGCACTTAATCCCAAGAAATTCAGTTGTGTCAAGTTGCCAAATTCCTTACAGATGGGCAGGGCATCGAAGTCATTGAATGAGAGGTCTAAATGCTTGAAACTCACAATAGGATAGCAGGATATCTTTCGCAACTGATTATGAGATAAATCCAAATATTCCAAATCCTGGTTGAACTTGAAAATACTGAAATCAAGTCGCTGGATTCTATTATGGGAAAGTCTCAAAACTTTCAACCCTGGCAGAAAGCCGATGTCAGAGATCTGAAGCTCAGATATGTTGTTTTGAGACATATCTAAGACTTTGGTTTTTGGTGGCAGGTCTTTTGGAACATGAGTAAGGCCTATTTTTGACTTATTTATTGCAAATTCACTTTCATCAGACAACTGGATTATGGTTCCAACTGTTACGGTCATAACACAAACAAAATGGAAGCTTCTGACAGTAGGTTCTTTGTTTTTGGACATGATGTTGCAGTGGCTATCCCAAAGCGTTGTTGTTCTTCAGAGACTCTTGATATAAGTTCAAATTCTAGAAACATAATATACATTAAGATAAGGAAAGATTGAATGATTTCTTTCAAACCTCCACTTACTAAACATAAAATCTAAATAATTTCTTCATTCAATATTAAAGTCATTTTTGTCTCTATAGTTTAATGTGGTTTTTCCCTCACTCATGCAGTTTACTCCCATTCAGGGCTTTGCTTTTGTTTTATACACCTCAGAAATTTCTCAGGGCTAAAGCAGCCTCCTGGGCAGAGTTTGTTAAAAACATTTAAGGGAAAATATACTAGCTACAGCCTCTGAAGCAAGGGACAAGAGATGGGGCAAACAGCAGACACACCAGAAAGCCAGGGAAGGAAGGGGCTGCAACAGGAGATCCATGGGAGAAAAAAGGCTTTAGAAAGCTTGGTGTTTACCAAGGAATCTAGAAGTCCACACACATGGCCAGAGCTGGACACATGCTCAGAGAAGACCTGAGAAAATCCCAAACTTTCACTTCTGGCTGGCTTTAGGCTCCATGCAAGTAGAAAGTGAAGGCCAAGGCAGAGTTGTGAAGAGCCTGGATAAGCAGTGAGGCTCCAACATAGAGCCAATCTCCAAAGATAAGGAGACTTTTGGTTTTTGTTTCTGGTGTTTTGTTTTGTTTCCTGGTTTTGCTCCAGGTGTTTAAGGAAATCTCAAATCACTAGCTGACCACTAAGCTAACAGAACAGAGGATTCAATGACCACACATGACAAAGAATATAGCCTTTACAAAAATAGTTTAGAAAAGTCACTAAACAAACAAACTACAAGCCACAACAAGCAACAACAATAAACCCTAGGAAAAGGAAGGGAAATTGGTTTCTAGAGTTATCTCATGATAATGTTCAAAATGTCTGGCTTTAAAAAAAAACCTATTAACTATTAGTTATGCAAATAAACACGACAGTGTTGCCCATTCATGGGGAAAAAAAGAAATTAAAAGAACAAAGATTAGCGCGTTCAGAGAGGCTGCAGGGGCAGTGACCCAGAGGAGACCTCTAGCAACAGTGGCCGTCTCGGTGCTGGCGGCGCGGGCGCGGCTTGGCATGCGGGGCGTGAAGGCCGTGCAAGCCCAAGCACACCGACAGGAGTGCAGGCTCGATTCGGGAAGCTGGCGGGGCCTTCGGAAAGAGAGCAGGCGGAAGAGGATCGGTATTTCTGGGCGCAGGCTAAGGAACAACTGGCAGCCTTGAAAAAACACCATGAAGATGAGATTGGGCATCATAAGGAGATTGAGCGTCTACAGAAAGAAATTGAGCGACATAAACAGAAGATCAAAATACTAAAACGGGATGATTAAGTGCACACAGTTCCCCATAGAATGGCACATATCATTGCCCACTTCTGTGTAGACATAGTTTTGGTTTAATTAATATTTGTGTGCCGATAACAGATTCTAGTAAACTGTCATCAGAGGGGAAAAAAAAAAAAGAATGAAGTCAGAGAACTGACACCACCTAACATCAAGACTTACTCTAAAGCTACGGTAATGAAGGCAATGTGGTTTTGGCAAAAGAATAAACAAACAGATCAATGGACAAGAATAGAGAGCTCGAAAATAGATCCACACAAATATAGTCAACCAATCTTTGACAAAGGATTAAAGGCAATTCAGTGGAGAAAGGATAGTCTTTTCAATAAACAGTGCTGGAAAAACTAGACATCCACATGCAAAAAAAAAAAATCTAGACACAGACTTTACAGTTTTCACAAAAATTACCTCAAAATGAACCATAGACCTAAATGTAAAATGTAAAACTATAAAACTTGTAGAAGAGATCATAGGAGAAAATCCAAATGACTTTGGATTTGATGATGATGTTTTAGATACCATATCAAAAACATAATCCAAGAAAGAAAACACTGTTAAGTTGTACTCCATTAAAATTAGAATGTTCTTCTTTGCAAAAGATACTGCTAAGGGAGTGAAAAGACAAACCACAGACTGGGAGAAAATATTTGCAAAACACATATTTGATAAGGATTTGATTCTAAAATCAAGAACTCTTAACTCTACAATAAGAAAACAAACAACCTAATTTTAAAATGGGCAAAACCTCTGAACAGACACCTCACCCAAGAAGATATACAAATAGCAAATACACATATGAAAAGACACTCAACATCATATATCAGGGGATTGAAAATTAAAATAATGATGAGATACCACTACACACCTATGAAAATGGCTAAAATCCCAAAACCACATCAAATGTTGGTGAGGATGTAGAGCAACAGGAACTCTCTTTCATCGTTGGTTGGAAAGAAAAATGGCATACCCACTTTGGAAAACAATCTGACGGTTTCTTACAAAGCTAAGCATGGTCTTACCATATGATCTAGCAATCACACTCCTAGGTATTTACTCGAATGAATTGAAAACTTCTGTCTACACAAAAACCTACATGTGGATGTTTATAGAAGCTTGTTGGAAGCAACAGATATATTTCAACACATAAAAAGATAAACTGGTACATTCATACAATAAAATATTATTCAACAATAAAAAGAAATGAACTGGAGGGGCTTCAAGATAACTGACTAGAGGCACCCAGCCCTTGCTTTCTCCACAAAGAAGGACCAAAACAGTGATTAGATAACCACATGTCAAATAGAGATTCTAAGAGAAAACATTGGAATTCAGCAGGGAAGTGACAGAGAACCTCTGAGGCATGGAAGAAGAGGGAGCAAAGTAGGCAGCGCAGCCAGGATCAGCTTGGAGCCGGGGGGAACTCCCCATTTCAGGGAAAGGGTAAGCAAGAGATCCCCCGCAGTCCCCATTCCCACCACAGACTCCTGCAATCCTCGCCACGGGAGAGCCCCTCAGCCCTTATGGGCCCTGAGAATACTATAGGGAGCTGCCTGGAGTCCATGCAGCAGCACTGTTCCGGAGGGAGTTCACTCTGAGTCCCACACACTCCCCCGGACACCCAAGCAGCTGCAGCACAAGGCCATTTTGAGAGTCCAGCCTCCATCAGACTACATCCTACTCTGAGGCCCTGCAGCTCCTAAATCTCCACATCCCAGAAGCCTCGCTGACATCCCCCTATATCCACTCAGAGGGCTGAAGCATCATGAGGCCAGCTAAACCCAGCAGTACAACCAAGTCCCCAGCACTCTAGCCCATGTGATGTCCTACACCCCTGGGAATAGGCAGTGCAGTGCGCCAGGGAGGCTGCCCCTAGGACAAAGGGAGCTGAAGCATGCACTCCCCAAAGCATAAGAGGCACATGCTCAGGGCTGCTATCACTGACAACAACGCTGTCCCCTCCGTGTGGTGAGGCCACCAAGAACCTGCATGCACCTTCAGGAGGCCTGAGGACACGTCTTCCCCACCCTCCACTGCCAGCATCTGAACACCGCTCCTGCTATTGATACCCACCCATGCATGCCACCTGGGACCCCAGGCATGGGCCCACCCAGCCTGCAACCACCACTGTTGGTGCCTGTGCATGCACTTTGAGGCCCAAGGGTTGGCTCACCACCACTGCTGCTACTGCCAATGCCATGCACATCACCCAGGGGCCCAAGGACCTGCTCAAACACCTGGCACATCACTGCCACTGAAGGCACCTAAGTAAGCCTCTTGGAGGCCCAAAGACCTTCTGCCCAAGGGCCTGAGGACCATCATGCCCAGCCCAATGCCACCACTGTTCCTGAGTACAGGCCCCCTTGTCTTCCTTATCCCCAGAAAAGCCTTGCCACAGCCTCTGCTAACAATCGCCTAAGCCACTGAGGAGTTCACAAACATCAATGATACTGATTATAGCCAAAGTAATCAGATGAAGACAACACTCCTGTGCCCACCCAGAATCAAAGCCATAGCACCCTACCAAACTAACACTATAAATACATCTATAAGAAACCATCTTTCCATATAAAAGCCAAACCGTAAAATTGGAAGAAGCAACTATACATCAGATGCACAGATACCAACATAAGGACACAAGAAACATGAAAAAGCAAGAAAATATACATTTCCAAAGGAATACAATAATTCTCCAGTAATAGGTCCCAATGAAAAAAAAATCTGTGAAATACCTGAAAAAGAATTTGAAATAATGATGTTAAACTCAGTGAGATACAAGAAAACAGTACAAAGAAATCAAGAAAACAATTCACGATCTGAATGAGAAATTCAACAAAGAGATAGATGTCATAAAAAAACAATCAGAAATTGGACTAGAAGAATTCGATGAATGAAATAAAAAATGCAATCATGAACTCCAATAAGAGACTAGATTGATCAGGAGAAAGAATTTCTGAACTTGAAGACAGGTCTTTTGAAATAACACAGTCAGACAAACAAAAAGAATAAAGAATTAAAAGGAATGAAAAAAGCCTATGTGACATATGACACACCATTAAGCAAACAGAATTCACATTTGGGAAGTTACAGGAGAAGAGATTGGAAAAGGCAGAGAAAACCTATTTAATGAAATATATAGGATGTCTATCTCTTCCAATGTTTTGATATAGGAATATTAAAAAATTCCCAAATAGATTTAGCCCTAAAATGTCCTCTCCAAAGCACATTACAGTCAAATTGTCAAAAGTCCAAGACAAAGACAGAATCCTAAAAACAGCAAGAGAAAAGCTTCAAGTCAAATGTAAGGGAATCCCCATCAGACCAACAGATTTCTCCAACAGAAACCTTATAGGTCACGAGAGAATGGGATGACATATTCAAAGTGCTGAAAGAAAAAAACTGCTAACTAAGAATACTATATACAGCAAAGATATCCTTAAAAAACAAAGGAGATCATGCAGTATATGATCAGAAGCTAAAAGAAAAAAATTTTTTTTTAAATTAAGGAGAAATAAAGTCTTTCCCAGATAAGCAAAAACTGAGGGTATTCATCGCCACCGGATCAGCCCTATAAGAAGTGCTTAAGGGAGCCCTACATCTGGAAGCAAAAGGATGATATCTACCATCAGGAAAACACACAAAGTATAAAATTTACTGGTAGAGCATATACAGAAATGAGAAAGAGAAAGGAA